CTGACCTGGAAGGGTTTGGGAAGTGGGATTGAGGGTGGATTCCCTGTGGGATGGAGGATGTGGCTCCCTCGGGGCCAGTAAAGCCAAGAACTTGCCAAAGTCAAAAACTGTGCCACCTCTTCCCTGCGGGCACCCCGGAGCCCCCCAGAGCTCTGAAGCACCCAGGGGGACACTGAGGCACGGGGGGGGCACCATGGGCTGAGCTGGAGGGGTTTGGGTAGCAGGAGGATGTGGCTCCCCAAAATCAGGGCCTGGCAAACCCCACGGTGGGAGTTGGCACTGCTGGCACCCCCCTGAGCCCCCCCAGAGCTTTGCAGCACCCCCAGGGGGAAAACTGAGGCACGGGGGGGGGTCAAGCAGCCACTGGGGACACCATGGGCTGACCTGGAAGGGTTTGGGAAGTGGGATTGAGGGTGGATTCCCTGTGGGATGGAGGATGTGGCTCCCTCACAGTCAGGGCCATGGTGGGAGTTGGCACCGCTGGCACCCCCCTGAGCCCCCCCCCAGAGCTCTGCAGCGCCCACGGGGGGAAACTGAGGCACGGGGGGACCCCGAGGCAGAGGGTGCGGCCCGGGGGTGACCCCGTCCCTGCCACGCGTGGCCGGGAGGAGCCGAGGGCAGGACCGGGAGGAGCCGAGGGCAGGACCGGGAGGAGCCGAGGGCAGGACTGGTCGTGCCGGTCCTGGCAGAACCACAACGGGGCCGCCGCGGGCACGGCCCTGGGCGGGGGGGGGGGACGCGGTGACACGGCCAGCGCTGGGGGGGTGGCACCGGTGGCACCGTGTCCTTCCCCGCCGGATGCATCCCGGTGGAACAGCACCGGGATTTTGGGAAGGGAGGCTGAGGCAGGTTTGGTGGGGAGGGGTGTCCCCCCCCCACCCCGGGGTTTGGGGACGGCGCCAGCTCGGCCCCGCTCGAGGCCACGAGGGGAACTGCGGGAAGAACCTGCCAGTCAGCCGCTAATTAGCGACTGGCAGGGCTCCCGCGCTCGTTAATTAGCGATAACGAGGGTTTATCTCCAGGCCAGAGGCAGCGGAACACGCGACGCTCCCCCGGCGCTAAAATGGGAGGGTTTATTTAAAACAGCGCTCGGAGGGGCAAGGAGGGGCTGCATAGAAAAATAAACCGGGGGGGGGGTCCCCAGACACCCCCACGGGACCCTGAACCCCCCGTGGCCACGGTGGTCACCGAGGGGACAGCGAGTGGGTCCCTCCCCCGGGGGACACCGGCGTGGCCCAGCAGGTCCCCCCGGCCCCAAACCACGGTGCAAACACGCCCTGAGACCCCTGTGAAGATACAGAGCTGAGAACTGAGTCCGGGGGGTCCCCGAGGGTTCCCAGGGGATCCCCAGGAGGTCCCCAGGAGGGTTCCAGGAGGTTCCCAGGAGGTTCCCAGGAGGGTGCCAGGAGGTTCCCAGGAGATTCCCAGGGGGTCCCCAGGAGGTTCCCAGGAGGTTCCCAGGAGGTTCCCAGGGGGTTCCCAAGAGGTTCCCAGGGGGTCCCCAGGAGGTCCCCAGGAGGGTCCCAGGAGGTTCCCAGGGGGTCCCCAGGGGGTCCTCAGGAGGTTCCCAAGAGGTTCCCAGGAGGTTCCCCAGGAGGTTCCCAGGAGGTTCCCAGGAGGTTCCCAAGAGGTTCCCAAGAGGTTCCCAGGGGGTCCTCAGGAGGTTCCCAAGAGGTTCCCAGGAGGTTCCCAGGAGGTCCCCAGGAGGTTCCCAGGAGGTTCCCAAGAGGTTCCCAGGGGGTCCTCAGGAGGTTCCCAAGAGGTTCCCAGGAGGTTCCCAGGGGGTTCCCAGGAGGTTCCCAGGAGGTTCCCAAGAGGTCCCTAGGAGGTCCCCAGGAGGTTCCCCAGGAGGTTCCCAGGGGGTCCTCAGGAGGTTCCCAAGAGGTTCCCAGGAGGTTCCCAGGGGGTTCCCAGGAGGTTCCCAGGAGGTTCCCAGGGGGTCCCCAGGAGGTTCCCAGGAGGTTCCCAGGGGGTTCCCAGGAGGTTCCC